GTGTGAGAGAATCGGGCCTTGTGGCAGAATCCAAGGGGGGTAAGTGGGCTCATCCCTGTGGAACTGCAATCTCCGCTGGCACACCTAAGAACTGTAGATGGGAACAGACCTACCTGGGGAGCTAAGGGGACACCCCAGCTGGGTTGGGAATCTCACTGGTGAGTATAAGAGCTAGACTTAGGGCAGCAGGCTGGGCTGGCCCTGGCTATAACCTCCCTCAGTGTGAGTGTGAGCTGGGGCTGGGGAGCAAGACTGGGCCACACTCCAGCACTCGCTGGTACTCATGAGCATCAGGGTGGGTGTAGAAAGGGCTGGTCTGGGTCTTGACTTCTGCTGAGCCGTATGAAAACTGTGTCTGGGCATGGGTCAGGTGTGGCTAGGCTGTAACATCCAACAGTAAGAACCAGAATGGGTGTGGGTTGATTGAGCAAAGCCACTGTTCCTGCCAGGGCAAGAAGTGGGTAAAGCCAACCTGCGCCAGGGATCCACTGTTGCATGACATCTGCCGTTGGGAGGAGACCCAACAGAGGATCTTGGGAAAATCCTTTGTAGGGATACAGTCCATGCAGGCGAGCACAAGAACCAAGTCAAGGAGCAGCCCTGACCATGCCAGGTTACAGTACCTGCCAGCCTAAATGTGGCTCAGGTGTGCGTTCAGACCAGGCTTGGCCAGTTCACAACATCTACTGGCGGAAATGAGAACCAGGACAGGGTGTGGGAAAGGCCAGGTCAGGCTGCAATGCTAGCCAGCTCAGATTGGGGATGCTGCAGTGAGACAGGCCATACCAGCCTGGGGTCTGTGGTAGCTGGGTTTGTGAGCCACAGGGGTGGGAGATCAGGCTGGGGCTCAGGTCGCTTGACCCAGGTCCTGGAACCTTCCTGCTGGGTAAGTGCCAAGCTCATGGGCTCTGAGGGTATGGGATCCAATGGGGCTTGGATTGCCTGACCTGGGTCCTGGGGCTCACAATGAAGTGGGTGCTGGGTTCTTGAGCTCTGGGGATGGAGGATCTGGGAGTGCTCAGGTCACCTGGCCCTGATCCCTTGGTCCACCTGAACAGTTGATGCTGGGTTCATGAACCTGGGGGTGGAGGATCTAGTGGGGCTTGGGTCGCCTCGCCTCGGTCCTGGGGCCCACATGTGAGGTGGGTGCCAGGTTTGTGAGTCCTGAGGGTGGGGATTTGGCAGGACTTGGGTTGTCTGGCCCTGGTCTTTGGACCTGCCTGTGAGTGAAAAAGAGCAGTGGACACAGACCCTGATGTACATGCTTCCTTGCATGAGAGGGGAGATTCTAAGGCCCATTGGCTGTCCACCTGTACATTAGTGTGTCCACAGAGCCAAGTGCATGCTGTAAAACCTGGTCTGGAGTGTTGTTCAGCCTGTCCTTTCCATTCTTTGAGGAGGTGCTCAAAGTCCTCTGTTGGCTTATGTGAGATGGCTGTCTTGTTCTCTGATGTGCCTCTGGGTATGTTCTTTATTTTACAATGTCAGCAACTGAGGTGACCCAGTCTGGCAACATGTGCTTCCTGGTTGGCCTTGTGGCTGTCATTTCCCTGAGATCAGGGATTGAACCCAGCAGTCTAGTTGGGGGTTCCATAAGAAACCTCAGTGGGAGGTCCTCAGACCTCTCATGTTTGCCAGCTAATGTAAGGTCAGGCTCAGCATGGCCTCTGTACCAGCCAACACACATATCGGTGACTGCAGCTGGCTGGCAAATCCCCTTCTACAGCTCTGACTCTCATGCAGTGTGTTGTTACCTAGCCAGCCCAGCCACCCCTAGACCCAGCTCTTGTGTACGCGAGTGGGTGCTGCAGCCTAGTTTTGACAACGCTGTGTAACCCCCACCAGACCTGATCCAGCCCTAGTCTTTTTGTATTCCCGTGGGTGCTGTGGCCTATCTTGGTACCAGATTACCCCTAGTCTCAGCTCTTGGATGCCCCTGGTGGGTGCTGAGGCCTAGCAGGGTAGGTCTGTGCTTAACCCCAGGACTTGGAATGTTGAAGCAAGCACTGCAACCCAGTCTGGCATGGCCCATCCCCAGCCTTATCACTCACCAGTGAGTGCTGTGGCCTCGCTCAGCCTGGCCTGCCCCAGCCCAGGCTCACACGTGTGCCCATTGGTGCTGTGACCTAGCCTAGCCTAGTCAACCCTGAGCCTGACTTTCACAAGCACCTATTGAGGTTGGCAGTTTAGTAGAGGAACCCCCAAACTTCCGCTGCTGGGACCACCCCCAGTTTTGGATCTAGCACGTGTCAGCGGGTACTGAGGCCCAGCCTGACATGACCCACTGTCAGCCCTGGCATTTACTCATAGATGCTGCAGCCTTGCCCAGCTTCTCCTCCTCCTAGCCTGCTTGCCCTGCCCCTAGTCTGGGCTTTTGCAAGCACCAAACAGGAGCTGTGACCTCATAGGGGAATAAACACAAACATAGTTTTCTTTTGGGATAAAAACACAAAGTGAAATTAATTTGCTCAATAAAAGATTTCATGGAACGTTTATCAATTTTAAAAACATTTTTTTTTTTTTTGTAAGACAGAAGGACATCAAAAGGAAAACAGATCTCCCTTCTGGTTTACCACTCAAATGCGCACACCAGCTAGGGCTGATTAGGACAAGCTGGAACTAGGAGTTGGGAACTCTGTTTGGGTCTCCATGTAGGTGTTAGGGACACAACTGTTTGAGCCACTGGCTTCCTTCCAGAGAGCAGGATGTTGGAATCATGAGTGGATATGAACTCAACCCAGGCACTCCTGTGTGGGATGCAGGCTTTCCAAGCAGCTTTAGTGATCTTTTTTTGCTTCATATGAAAAAAGAAAAAAAGTGGAACTCTAATTAGCTCGTTTTAATTTGTTTCTTATATCCCAAATACATTTTGGGATGCAATGTAAAAACTTAGCCCATGTGATATGTTTTAATTGTGTGCCAGGTATTGAGAGTGATGAAATCAATGAATTCTTGTCCTCAGTGTGTTCACACTGTAGTGTTCAGAAAATACGCAGTTAAACAGGGTTAACATAGAACTTTCACCAGATGGTGCAGCAACTGAGGCACAGCTGTACGTGACTGAAGTAATTAATCTCCCAGAATGGCTAAGGTAGGTATTGAGAGACTAGTAATAAAGTCTTGGCAAGGTCCTGAGATAGTAGCCTAGTGGCTAAAGTCCTCACCTTGCACATACTAGGATCCCATATGGGCACTGGTTCATTTTCCGATGGCCCTGCTTTCCATCCAGCTCCCTGCTTGTGGCCTGGGAAAGCAATGGAGGGCGGTCCAAAGCCTTGGGACCTGGCACCCTTGTTAGAGACCCGGAAGAGGCTGCTGGCTTCAGATTGGCTCAGCTCTGGCCATTGCGGTCACTTGGGGAGTGAATCTGCAGATGGAAGATCTTCTTGTCTCTCCTCCTCTCTGGATATCTGACTTTCCAATAGAAATAAATAAATCTTATTTAAAAAAAAAAATCTTGGCAAAGCTAAAGAGAAATAGAAAGCAGTTATCAGTGGAAAGTTTCAGTTCACCGTGTGAAAAGGCATGAAAAGTGAGGGAGCATAGGGCCCTTCTGAAAACTGAAGATGTGTGTTGGATACAGTGATTGGATATGGATAAATATGAGATATTAATAGTTACATTGAGGTATTTGAAGCACACAGGTGACATTCAGGATAATTCAGGGAAGGACAAATTTCAGGTGGTGGCTTGGGAGCAGAATGTTGGTTAAAACATTCTCAGTTGAAAATGGAAATAGATACGGATGTAGGTGTCATTTTTTGATTCAGAACTACAAGGAAAGAGATTGTAAATTTAAGGTAGGACTCAGTTTTCAGAATTGGTAAAATGAAAAATAAGCAAATTTTTGACAAGTTTCAGAGGATTTGTTGGGGTAGAAGTCACTCCACGATAGATTTAGGGTTAAATTAGAGAAAGAATAACAAGACATGTTATTCTCTGGAATAATATTTGCTATTTTAAAAATTGCTAATTGCTGGGGCCCGGAGCGGTGGCGCAAGTGGTTAAAGGTCCTCGCCTAGCACGCCCGGGATCCCATATGGGCGCCGGTTCTAATCCCGGCAGCCCCGCTTCCCTTCCAGCTCCCTGCCTGTGGCCTGGGACAGCAGTCGAGGACGGCCCAAAAGCTTTGGGAACCTGCACCCGCGTGGGAGACCCAGAAGAGGCTCCTGGCTTCGGATCGGCATAGTATCGGCCCGTTGCGCTCACTTGGGGAGTGAATCATCGGACGGAAGATCTTTCTCTCTGTCTCTCCTCTCTCTGTATATCCGCCTTTCCAATGAAAAAATAATAAAAATAAATCTTTAAAAAAAAAATTGCTAATTGCTGTTATTTGTTATTATTAAAAGCATTGTCTTCTACGTAGTAATAGGTAATACTAATATGAAATATATTTTATTATGCAGTCAGCCACCCATATCATTGGGTTTTCATTTGTGAATTTAAAACATTTGTGGGAAAAATTGTGTTTATGCTGAACAGGTATAGACTTTATTGGTTGTTGTTATTTCCTAAACAAAGCTGTAACACCTATTTGCAAAGCGGTTAATAGTGTATTAGGTATTGTGCTAATTTAGAGATGGTTTATTTGGGAGGGTGTGCATAGGCTGTCTGTAAATACTGCATGTAAAGGGGTTTGAACATTTACAGATTTTCATATCTGGAGTTTCTGCAACCAGTGCCTTATTTGAGGGAACAAGTATATACTGACTTTTTAACAATTTCCATTGCTACAGTATTAAATTAATAATAGTAGTAATCATATGAATTTTAAAAGAAGTAGATTTTTCTATTTAATATATTATTATTCATCAAAGAAAAATATTTAGCAATAATTTCCTGGAGGTTAATGATCATGTTCTAGTTGAATACTTTTAAAAATATTATAATGAGGGAAAAGTTGATTTTCAGTTTTAATTTAAAGTAACAGTGTATCATAGATGGCATTCATACCTGAAGCAAACAACTAAGCAGTGTTTTTTCTGCATATATTCTTTCAGGTTTGATTAATTTTGAATGAGATTGTTCTTGCAGCGAAATGTTAATAAGACAAAAACTAGGTAAGTAGGAGACTTTTGTTATTTGCATTTCAAGACAGAAGTAATACAAGAAGTTTGTGTTTTAAAATGTGCTCTCTAGTCTGTTTTTAGTAATAATTTGAATTACCAAGTGTTGGCTTTTTAACATTTTTGTTCCAGTTAATTTGCGTAAAAATAAAGCTTTCAAGTTTCCTTCTTTTGTTGGAGTTACTGGAAGCATACAAATTTCCAAAGACTTATAAAGATTAGGTTGGTAGTTGGTTTAATCACATATTAAAGCAGTTCAGTTGTTAGATTGCTTCATTATTTGCTTCTTAGCTGACATAGTGTATGAGCAGCTTGGCTTTTGTGAATTTTACTGTTATTTCTGTTAATAAAGTACTTCTACAACTTGGTGAAATTTTCCAAATTGGCCCATTTTTATGTTACAAAGTTTTTAGAATTTTGTTATTCTATAGTGTTTTTCTTGAATATATCTTTACTGAGTGACTTTCCTGATCCTGCATTCTGATTTGCTTTCTAAGCTGCTGACTTTCAAAACTGAATTGTGATGGTTGACTTTTGGGCTGCAATGTGAAGGAATAGTATAGTGTTTTTATGTGATTTATATATTTATATTTTGTGTTATTTATACTTTTTAATAGTATAAGCCAATGAAATACTAACAAATTACATTTGTTATCTGTTGCTAAATGAACATGCCGTCAGGTTTTAAACAGGAAAAATAATACTTTGATAAAATTGCAACTGACTTGATCTTTCTTCAACCTAGCCATTTATTTCAGTTTGCAAATATTTACTCATCTCAGTATTTGTTAAAATTTCAGTGTGGGAAGTGCTTTAATTGAGTAATGTACAGTTAAGCATTATAATCTCAATCAGTGGTTTAGGCTACTGCTGTGAAGCGATTTTCCTTTGATTGCAATTATATAATAATGACAGTATGTAATATGCTGTCATTTTTTAAATGTTTTTCATGCCTTATTTATAGTATCAGTGTGGCAGCTTCATCCTGTGTAAAATTTTGATATTTTCATTAATAGCGGACTGCTACTTTTTCTTTAGAAGTAACATTATGTTTATTGAATACTTAATTATAAATGTTCATGAGTTTCAGAATTTTTGCATAAAAAATGTTTTAATTCTTATTTTCCATGGACTTTAGTATTCTTTGTTGACCTACGGAAGAAAGAACTTTACATTTTTAGGTCTTACAGGGATTTAATTTGTTATATGTATAATGTGTGTTAGATCTTTGTTCTGATTTCTAAGTGTGATATCGTTTGTGGGTTTAACTTATTTTGACCTTGTCTTGTCAAAGTTTTATTATTTTTTTTTCCTGTTTTATTGTGCTACATTTTATCTATATAAGCATGTAAAATTAAACTATAGTGCTGAATAACTTTTTACCTGTATGTTCACACGTGAAACCACTATGCTAGATAGCATTTTATTATTCTAGACCACTCCCGTGCTCTTTTCCTGTCCTATTCAATAGCCTTTCCCCTGAGGTAAGTGTTTTCCTAAGTGTTTTCTATCAGTATGGTTTAGTTTAATCTGCACTTGGATTCTATTTACATAAATTTATGTCATATATACTTTCTGTACATTTTTTAAATTGAGTATGTTTTTGGCATTTTATCTGTCTTAACAAATATCAGTTGTTTGTATCTAATTGCAGAATAATAGTCTGTCTCATTAATATATAGTTTTGTTTTGAATTCTCCATATTTCTGACCTCAGTTGTCAGGGTCTCAATGCTGTGTGTCTCCTGTTCCTTTTGTTGTCTCCCATCTCCTACTAAATAAATGTAATCCCTATGAGATTGTACAATCAGTTAATGCTTCTTATTCTTAAATGTATGTTGTTACTCTCAACAGTGCCCCACCTCTCCAATCAATGACTTTTTTTTTCTGGTTATCTTTTTATTTTCTGAGTTCATCTATGTTAAACATTATCTTAGAGGCTTTGAGCCAGACTTTGCCATTTTTGCATGTGTTTAGAGACTTGAATTCTTCAAGTTTAACCTCATGAGGAGGAGAGACAGAGAAAGATCTTCCATCCACTGGTTCACTCCCTAAATGGCTGCAAGGGCTATAGCTGAGTCTGTCTGAAACCAAGAGCCAGGAGCCTCTTTCAGACCTCTTCTGAGTGCATGAGCTCAAGGACTTCAGCCGTTCTCTGTTGCTTTCCCAGGCCACAAGTAGGGAGAACTGGATTGGAAGTGGAGCGGCTAGGACATGAATCACCACATATGTGTGGTGTTGGTACTTGCAGGTGGAAGATTAGCTAGTTGAGCCATTGCAGCAACCCCCATGCTGGCTTAGCATAGAGCAATAAACAAGCTCTTACAGACAGAGGTTCGTGCTAGGTGGGATGGGATGAGATGAGGCATTGGTGCTTAGGTGGTTTGGGGGCAACAAGAAAGAGTCAGTGACAATTTTAAAAGCAGTTGGAAACAGAAAATAAATTCTTTCTACAGGTTGCATTAAAATGACAAGTAATGTTCATAGTTAAAACCTTAAGTAAGACTGTCAGCATTGAGTTTGATTACTGTTTCCTAGCTATTAAAATATGTTGTGCAAATTAAAGTGTTTTCTACCAAGAATGTACTCTTAGTGGATTCCTATTAGTCATGTTCTTCTTAAAGATTCTGAGGGATGTCTTAGACTACCACAAGTAGAAAATCACTTTGGCCACATGTAAGAAATAATAACTGTTTCTTTGAAGATAAAAAAAGTTAGGATTAAGGTGGATTTTGAAGAACCACAGTCTTGAACTGTGATATTTTCTGATTCTTGTGTGGCCTGAGAATTGTTCACTGCACGGTATTTTAAGGTTTTGTTTTATCATGGTGGATATTTTGTGTGTGGGGGGCGGGGTATGTGTGCAAAGGCAAAAACATTTCTGAAATTTTAAAGCACTTCACTAGTGGTTTTTTTTTTTTTTAATTTATTTGGAATTTAGCTAGTTGGGTTGGCAGTGGTATTCATCTGGGGATTTTTGTGCCTGAAATGTTTTTGCCCTGTAGCAAGTCCAAAGCAAGGAGAGGTTCTTCCCCATTGGGATCAATTTGTTGCTTTTGCTCACTGCAACTTCTGTTGGAAGGGTTGAACACAAAGTTAGACACCAGCCCTATCTTACACCGTTCTGTATTCCTACAAGAATTTTCCTAGATTATTACTGAATGTGGAACCTTGGTTATTTCTTTTATGCTAGCTGAAACATGAAATGTATTAATTTTTTTGTTGGTAAGATTGAAGGACCCAGGGAAAAATTGTTTTATTATATAACTTATGTCAATGGTAGATTTCAGACTGGTCTTTCTTAGAAGATGGGTAGGTATAACTAGTTTTAAACTTTTTTCCTTGACTTGGGCCCTGAAGAAAACAATTGAATTATGATTGAGAGAGTACCTTGAGAAAATGAGTGAAGGGTTTATGAGCAAAACTCTTATTTAAGCTTCCAGCATTTATTTTGTAAAAATTTCATTTAACTGAATTTCTGTGTTGGATAGTACTGGAATTTCCTCAATGTTCTAAAGTTTACATTTTACTACAGTTTAGGAATTCATTGTTGGAATGGTTTGTTCTGTTTTTCCAAGCATAGTAAATTTGAATCTACTAAAAAATGAAATGTTAAAGCCTCCTTGTTGATCATTTGTTATTATGATACTTGAGTATGAGATTCAGTGGTAATAAAGTTAATAGCTTGAAGTTAGGCAGGTTAAGACAGAATTGAGGAATAGCAGGTTTAGCTACCCTGAGTGTCTCTGATGTCACTCAGGGAGTGCCAGTTCTAATCCCTGCTACTCTGTTTCCACTCTAGGCCACTTTGAGGCATCTGGGAAAAGCAGGTTATGACTCAGTCCTTGAGTTCTGCCACCTCCCAGTGAGACCCAGATGGAGTTCCTGGCTCCTGGCTTCAGCTTGGTACCCAGCATTGACCATAGTAGCTATTTGAAAAGTGACCCTGTATGTGAAGGATCTGTTTGTCATCTGATTTTCAGATAAATACATAAATATTTTTTAAAAGATTAAGACTGGACCTCATTTATTAAGGCAGTTTTAAATATTTTAAAAATTTAGATTTAATAGTCTCTGGTGTGGGTGAAAGGAGACAAACACTTGGGTCATAATGTGTTTCGTCATAGGCGCATTAACCAGAAATTGGATCAGGATCAGGAAGTTGGAAACAGAATTGAACCCAGGTACTCCAATATGGGATGTGGGTGTTCTAAGCAGTGGCTTAACATGCTGTGCCACAGCACTCACCCTGTTTGTTTATTGCATTTATGGAGCTAAGAGAGAGCTCCCATCTACCGATTGAGTCCTCAAATACCCCAAATATTCAGGAAAGCAAAGCTAGGAACTGGGAACTCAATCCAGGTCTCGTGAGGAGCACTGTCGCTTCAGCCGTCCTTGCTGCCTGCCTTGGTCTGCACTAGCAGGAAGCTGGAGTTAGTAAGCAGCGCTGGGGATTGAGTGCAGGTGCTCTAAAGTGGGGCTTTCACTGCTAGGCTGAGTAGCTGCCCTTGAGTGCTTTTCAGTTGTGACAGTTCCATGTCTTTTTCTGGATTTTAGAAATACAGTTTATAAATATATTCTCCTGTTCTGTGGATTGTCTTACTCTGTTAAATTGTCTTTAGTGCACAGAATTGTAAAATTTTCATTGTATGTTGTTTTCCTTTGGTTTCTTGAGCTTTCCGTGTCCTTACCACGAACTCATCATCAGATCTAGTATTGTGAAGGTTTGCTTTTTTTTTTTCTTTCAAACTATTTAGTTATAGGTTTCATTGCTTTAAACTTTTTTTAAAATAAGATTTATTTATTTTTATTGAAAAGTCAGATATAAACAGAGGAGGAGAGACAGAGAGGAGGATTTTCCATCCCATGATTCACTCCCCAATTGACTGCAAAAGTTAGTGCCGAAGTCAGGAGCCAAAATCCTCTTCTGGATCTCCCTGCTGGTGCAGGGTCCCAAGGCATTGGGCCAGCCTTGACTGCTTTCCCAGGCCACAA